TGCTTCCCACCCCAGCTACTCTCCCTTCCCTCCCTGAAAATTTTCAAGTTGATCCTGGAGATGAAAAGTTTGAAAAGAATTGTTCTCGGAGCCAAAATTCCTGACGTCCCAAATGACAGCAACCCCCACCCCGAAGTGGCTGGCTCCTCAGGGTAATCTGAGCCCTCTCAATTAACCAGCACCAAGATAAAGATTGCTCATGCTAAAGACGTCACATAACACCGGCCTTAGAAATTGGAAGATCTCAGCTACAGGGAAGATACCTGCTCGGCTGGATCAATAGTTTCAACATATATCAATATCTGGAGACGATTTACTCTCTTGATGTGCAAAATTGAGTGAATTTGTGCACCCGAACCTAACAAGAGCGGCTTCTTGTGGAAAAATCTTTAATTAAAATGTATAAGGGACCATTTCCAGGTAAGAGCTCAGATCTCTTTGTGAGGCTTTTTGCCATCTGTAAAATCCCCACTCGGATTTTGGGAGCTCAGATGTGAGCTGCTTCCAGACCTTAAGGGGCAGAAAAGAGATGTTTTACCAGCTTGATTTGCACCTGCAATTAAACAGACACCCAGGCCAGGCTAATTTACACTGGAACTTAATTGCAAGCATAAATCTTGTGTATACAAATGATACATAAATAAAACCTCTCTCAGATACCCATGATCTGTTACACAAAGGAGCCAAGAGTCCCATATCTCCTTTTTATTCACATTTACAGGTCTCACTTTGGGCCGCAGAATTACTTAAATGCATTTGTCCTTTTGCCTAAAAATACCTAAGTGTTGGATGGCAAAAAAATAAATCAGGAGCCAGTTTGTCCTGGCACACTTTTAAACAGGGATGTTGTGAACAATTAATCAGCAAAAGGGTGTGGGGAAACACGAGTGTGTGGGTTACAATTTATTAACTGTTATTCTTGTGAAGGTGCTTTGCTGCTCTCGAGTTTTGGGGAAAAGAGCCAGGACTGAGTGTTGTGAGGAACAGGTCAGGGGATTGTGGTTTGCTGAGGCTGTTTTTTATTTTCTAAACCATATTTCATGTGTGGAAGGCACTTTGAGACTTCAGGGCTGAGCTGTGCACAACCACAGCAAAGCTCCTTTTGTGAGTGGCAAATTTCTGTGCAGTCCAAAGGAGAGGGTGAAGAAAGGGAACATCCAAAAAAGAACAAACAGCACCCCAGGCTGGGTGTTCCCCCTGAAAATACCTCACATAATAACTTATTTCCATATAAAATTGAGAGTTTGGAGGCTTTGGGGAAGCCTGGATAAGGAGACTGAAGGAGGGGAAGATGTGGGCTGAAGTAATTTGGTGCCTGGACCAGGCTGGAGCATCCTCTCGGTAGCGCTGGGATGTTCACAGAGGTTCAGGTTGAACTGACTGGGTACCTGGAGGGTGGAACTGAAATTCCCCTGGCTCTCAGGGCTGGCCAGTTCCCAGGCAGGCACATTCTCGTTCTTCTCCTCCGAACTGTATTCAGGAGGTGTTTTCCCCGCTCGGGCTACGAGCCTGCTGTTATTGTGATGAGCCTGTTCTTGGTGTGACCTACTTAACCACTGGCTGGAGGCTGACGGGAGTGAAGGCCACAAACAGGAAAAGATATCATACAAAAAAAAAACAAAAAGAAACAAATTTTTCAGGCTTTTGTCCTTTAGGTGCTGCAAGGTGTCAGGCAGTGAGGCAGTGCTGGGAGCATTGTTCACCCAAGTGTTCCTTTCAAATGGAAATGTCTGCAAAAGCCACAAGAAGCTCTTGGCTTAAACTCTGCCTCCTCCCTTACACCCCACAATAAAATCTGAGGCCTGTTAGTCCAGGTTTAGGACTCCTAAAACTTTAAAACTTCCTAAGTGTTAAAGCTTCTTTCAGGCACAGTTTTAGCCTCATCTGGCTGTGCCACCAGCCAAGATTAAAAAGTGGCAAGGTTACATCGCCTTCGAGTTGAATGTAAATCAGGAATCGGATTCAGGGGTCTGATTTAGGGGTTTTTACGAGTGAACTCTCTGTTAGAAAATATCTTTCTGGAGCTCCACGGGCCTGGCTGCACCCACACAGGAAACAGGCTCGAGGATTTCCAAAGGTTTGTTGATTTTTCAGCTTTCATGCTCTAAAGATATATTTCCTTTGAAGTGTCTCAAATAGGGTAGTATCCAATTATATTTGTAATCCCAATCTAATTCAATCAGGGACTCCAATTATAGCTGATCTGCCTCTTAATCTAGTTAAAGTCTGTGGAGTAGACTGGACCTTAGCTAACATAACTACATTAAAATGTAAGCTGTTGATCCAGGGATAACCAAGTTACAAGCCAGGACTAGCTGAAAAGTGGGAGGTTTGCAATGGAAATGGGCTCATCCTCCTTGAATCCAAACCCTGCACCAGCTCTCCTCGCAGCCAAATCCCTGCCAAGATTATAATTACGAAGGGCCCTAAAAAGTACTTTTATTCTGAGCCAAACACAACTGATTTAACTTTGGCTGCTTGTTTTCCTCCTCTGGAATTCTTCATCCCAGCCACCCCAACACAGGGAGAGCCACATCCACAAGGGCATCACCTTGAAACTCTTTGGAGCCTTGCAGCTGCCTGGCACCTTCCCTGCTGCTGTGTGGCCTTGGCACAGCTGGAATGGAGGGTGGCACAGCTGGAATGGAGGGTGGCACAGCTGGAGCAGCCAGGCTGGCACAGCTGGAATGGAGGGTGGCACAGCTGGAGCAGCCAGGCTGGCACAGCTGGAATGGAGGGTGGCACAGCTGGAACAGCCAAGGTGGCACAGAAGGTGTCACAAATCCACCCTCACCTGTCACCCCAAGAGCTTCCTAAGGCACTCAGCTGAGCTGATACACCCAGTTGTGTCTGATCTAAGTAGAGATATCAAATAATATTAAAAGTGAAATCCTAACTTCAGTGGGCTCATTCTGCTGTGGAACTTCAGCATCTCTGAAAATTCAGACAAAAATCCCTCAGTTCATTTAGAAGAATGGTATTGGAAATGTCATCAAGGCTGGAGATAATGCCCCGAAATCTCAGTTTTCTGGGACAATTAGGCAGGCAGAACATACCTCCAGCTTTGAGTCTTGGACAGGAAATGAGCTGTAGGCAAGTTGGAATGGGGAGAAGGAAGGATTGAGCTTCTGCCACACTTTACTCTTGGTTCCAGATCTACAAATTGTGAGGAGGACAACACTCAGAGTAAAAGATGCAGATGCTGAAGAGGGATCATTCTGTTCTATCCCCTGCATGTCCCCTTCCTCCTGGCATAAAGAATAGAGCACTAAACTTGATCATTTTAGATATACAAGTCATCATCCCAAGCTACATTTGTATCCTTTTTTCTATCAGCTTTTATTTGGATAATTTTGTGTTGATTTCTATTCATGGTTTTAAGTGTTAATATTTTGGTTTGGGTTTTTTCCTATTGACTTCCAACCATAACAGCTGAAGACGGGATTTAGGGATTTCTTCTTGGTGATAATTTCTTTTTTTAACTAAAAGCTGAGTTGTCAAAGACCAGATGGCACCTCCCAAACCTGCTCTGAATCTCCACTTATAGTTGGTTGCCAGTCCTTCACAAAGTGTGGCATGAACCAAATTCACCCATATGGAAAATAGCCAAATTTAGAAGTGGGATATAACTGATAAAACTAATTGGAAAAACTGCTGTAGCAGAAGAAATGGAATTAGGTCTACCACATTAAAAAAAAATGTTATTAATCATAGTCATAAAAGCAGAAAATGAAAGCTAATTTTACTAAGTAAAAGCCCCCTGCTAAGTGGTATTTTGACATCTGAAAATAATTCAGTTTCGATCTTGGTGCTCCTCTGACACAAGCGAGGAAATTGATAATTCTCTCTCGAGTTGCTGTTTCAAGCCATCTCCACACAAAGATTTTCTCTGCAAGTACCTGGAACCAAACCCAGTCCCTTGCCAGGACAGGCAGGTGTTCCTGTGCCTTTCAGGAGCTGCTTTTTGGGATAACACAGAGTGGAACAACAAATGGATTATGGAGCAGCACTGCCTGCAGTTATCCAAGACAAGGACACAGGGGAGGGTGCTCGTTTGCTACCCATTAATTCACATTTTCACTGCCATCAGATTCAGTATTTCACTGCCACATTCAGATATTGCTTGGTACTCCCTGAAAATATTAAAAAGTGCCTCAGCATCCAATTCCAAACAGTGCAGGGGATTCAGCACAGGCTGTGGCAGCCTTGCTGTGCCCTCACATCCCCCCTGAAATTGGGATAATAACGAGACATCTCCCAAGGCTCCATTACAGCAGAGTGCTAAAAGAAAGGGTTTGTGTACCTTGTCTGGGAGGAAAGGATCTCACAGGATTCCTGTTACTCTCCCTGATGTATCACTGGGCCATGAAATTCAAAGAAGACAGCAGACAAAGCCAAGTTACACCTACCTCTGATCTTAGGTTTGTTCAGAAGCAAGTAAGTGTTTGAAATTGAACAAATATTGCAGGGGAGGGGGGACATTATTCACTTCACACCCATTCCAAAAAATACCAGTGCTCCTGGGGAAAGCTGGACCTCTTACTCTCCGATTGCATCTGACATTAACACAAGATATTGCACAAGGACACGTTTCACACAGAGAGAAATCAGAGCTGATGAAGTTTATTCCTGTGCAGGTGAAACGCTCGGGCATTTTAACAAACACCCAGAGATTTGTTTGTTTACCTCCTAACCCACATGCCTCTCATTCCTCCTGGCTGGGAGCTCCTTGGTGGATCTTTCAGAAAGTTAAAATCCCTGTGTTATTTCCCTTGTGTGGGAGAGCTAAGCTCAGAAAGAAAGTTTCCAACTTTGGCCCAAAGCTTAGTAATGAACAGAGTACCCCATGATTATATTGGCCTGAAAACAGATATAAAAACCCAGGAACATGGCTCAGGTGATAGCTCAGTGGTGTTTGCACTAACAGCTCCCACATGGAGCCACTGTTGTGGCTGCATTATCTGCAGCTGGACCTAAAGCACCACCAGGTCAGGCAGGGAGTTGTTCCCTGAGCCGTGGCTGAGGTTCCTAAAGGATTGTTCTCCATCCTTCTCCCACTCCTCAGTGTTTTCCCTGCTCAGCCCCACTCTGGTGACCTCTGCCTTGCTGGCTGCCTCCTGGGTAAGGTTTGAACCCTAATTCTTGCTGCCATTGACCTCTTCAATTCAGATCTTTCTTCTCTCTCCAGGTGATGACTGTCACAGCATTCACACGAACTTGTGTCTTCAAAACCTCTCCCCTGTGATCAGAACTGACCAAGGTGCTCAGCAGCTGCTAGAAAGGAAGATGGAGGATGGACTGAGGGAAAACATAAACTTTATTTTGCTATACAGGAGGGAAAACATCCTTCTATTACCATCGTTATAATGGAATAACAGGTGTTTAAAGAGGAGTCTCCTGGGTTTGGATTGGGATAGAGTGTAGTCTGGAGGAGTCACTGCCCTTGCCAACATTCAATTTAACACCCTTAGGAACTGCTTCTGAATTTGAATGTCTGGGTCTCTGCACTCAACCTTGATTAACTGGCCCAACAACAAATGTTAATCACCCTGATTTACATTGCCTGCAGAGCTATGGTCAACTTGATATCAGCAACCTGCAGCTCCCTTAACATGTTCCAACAGGGAACTTCCAGAGTCTTGCAGGCAGTGGAGGTGAGCCCTGGGAGCCTGCACTGCGAGGTTTGTCTGGCAGGGAGCTGCAGGCAGGAGCAGGGCAGGAATACCTCAGCCAACTGAACTGCTGTGCCTCAAAGAGCTTTTGTGGCTCTCCAGGCTCTCAAGATGTAGGTAACACAATGTTTTTAGTTACATTTGGATTCTGAATACATAAAAAAAGGCTTAAGCTTTAAACTTGTGTGTTCTTCCCAGCAACAAACTGAGCTTGTTGGAGGAGCCAGCGCAGGATTTGAGACAATGTCCTTTACATGGGAGCCACTAAGTGTGCACAGACACACACAAGACACATTCAGCAAACACCCCATCGGATTTTTCCACAGATGAGACCATTTTGCAGCGACATTCTGGAGGACAGGAAGCCCCAGGGCTGGGCAGAGCCAGCTGCTGGCCACAGCTCCTGGTGGCAGGAGTTCCACAGCTCCTGGTGGCAGGAGTTCCACAGCTCCTGGTGGCAGGAGTTCCACGTGCTGCTGAGGCAGGGCGTTAAAAAATCTCCTGTTATCACCGCGAGCTGCGCCAGCTGCTCCTGGAAATTCGCCTATCAGCCACCATGCTGCAGCTCTGTTGGTGGCAGAAGATTGTTCCTCTGGACTTTTCTTAAAAAAATAAATAAAATGTCAAGCCTGAAAAGGAAGCCTGCTATTTTTCAAATCCAGGAGCTGTAATCATGCTAATCCATATGATCGTGCTAAAGCCAAGCAAAATGCCTTTTGCATATGATGTAATCAGCCAGGGCAGCCTATTTATAACCACCACAGGCTGGGAACACCTTCCCAGAAAAATACAATCAGGACAGCTTTCCCTTGGTCACATTCTTCCTCTTCCTCCCCGTGTTTTTCACTTTCTTTGTGCTCTTTCGCCTACTTTTGCTGTGTTCCCTGCCTTAAATACAGCAACTTTTTAATTTTTATTTTAAACTAATGCTTCCCGTGCCTTCTATTTTATCCGTGTTTTGGAGCCGTGCTGAGTGAAATCCGTGGCCTGTGAAATCAATACCAAAACTTCTATTGATTTCATATAATATATTCCTTTAAATTCAGTACAAATGCTCCACAGGAGTTGTCTATTTTAAGTATGGATCTACTGTACATGGCTGTCAGTCTCTCAGCTGGATACATAAACCAGCGTGGTTTAATAAATTCATTGGTGTGGCTTGGGAGCTTTCTGTGTAATAACTGAAAATCTGTTGGTCAAACTGAGCATATCAAGTGTAAAAGGAGAGGATTCATCAATGTGAATATCTATCTGTGGATCGATTGGTATCAATCTTGTTTAACAGTCTATTTCCTCAGGACACACTTTGGGAACAAAGAGCATTTCAAACTGTTGGTTAAACAAACAAATATAGAGAAGCTCTTTGGGCAACATGGGGGTGGAGTAAACAGCAGATAAAAATGGTCAGCGATTTCAAATACCTGATAATCTCTCCCATTTTTTATTAGTAAATGCAGAGCTTCTCTGGATGAAATGTACCCATTAAAGTGCATCAAGAGTGGGGGTATAAAACCATTTCTTGCCTGCAGAAGAAAGTGACCTGGAAACCAAAATTTGTCCCCTGACCTCCATGTTCAGTAGCTGTCCAAGGAGGAGGGTGACACCTTCTGCTCTGCAGGATCTGTGTTATCCTTAGCTAAATAAAACCCCCTTGTGAGACTTTATAAAAACAGAACCAGCCCCCGAGAGGATACAGCCCAGATCAGATGGGGATGCACCGCTTACCTTGATCTACAACATTAAGATATTTTATGCCTATCCCATCCAGGTCCCCCCTCCTCAAGCACCACCACGGTAAAGACAATCCTGACCAGTACTTGGCATGAGCGTGGACCAGCCCAGATTTAACAGGGAGTAAATGTTGTACGGCCCCCGCAGGTTTAGCAGGGTACAAGTGCCAGTAAAGCACCAGGTGAAAGGAGCTGTGGTGTTGTGCAATGTCCTGTGGCATTGTGTGGCTGCCTGAGGTGCCATCGCTTCCTCCCTGCTGCTGGCGAGTCACATTTGGGTTTTCCACACCCCTGTGCATCCCCCTGTGTGTCGGCACAGCAGCTCTGCAGCCGGGGAACCCCGAGTGCGCAGGAAGGAAACTGAGGCACAGACCCTGCTCCATTGGTTGCTGATGAATGCAATGGCAAGTGCACACTGAGTGTGTCTTCAGCTAAACCTGATCCTCCTGAGCCCTCACCCCGTGTCCTCCTCTTCCTCCAAATCAACAAAATCATCTCTTCATCAAATCAATCTCTCCGGTGTTTTCCATCAAACCATTTTTCACAGACGGACCTGGGGCGTGTGCGCTGTTCTACATTAAATCAAAAAACAACCACGTGTCCCAGGAAGATTTTTGCAGTCCACATCTCCGTACATCCAGGGATCTCACATTTTTATTTACGGGAGATCCGTGTGGCTGCCGTGGGGGTCGGAGGGGTTGGGGTGACTCTGCTGTGCCCCTCGGGGGTTTTACAGCTCACACGGATTGTCCCCAATGTCCCACCCAGGACTGTCCCCAATGTCCCACCCAGGATTGTCCCCAATGTCCCACCCAGGACTGTCCCCAGTGTCCCATCCAGGACTGTCCCCAATGTCCCATCCAGGATTGTCCCCAATGTCTCACCCAGGACTGTCCCCAGTGTCCCATCCAGGACTGTCCCCAATGTCCCACCCAGGACTGTCCCCAGTGTCCCACCCAGTGCCGGGGCCGCCCCGCTGCGGCTCGTGGGGATCACTGACTCGTGGCTCTCCTTCCCACGGGAGCCAAGAGCCCAAGAGGGGAGGGAAGATGAGAACCATTCCCCCGGGTGTCAGCGCGGTTACCCCGGTTTTGGGGAACGCTCCAAGCGCTGTTGTTTCAGCTTTCCCAGGGGATTTCCAGGGGAGCCCCACGTTTGCACTCGCTGTCCGCAACCCCACGGGCTCAGCTTCGCCCGCTTCCCGAAAGGCAGACTTTAAAGAGTCTTCAAACAGCTGAAGCAAAGCAGCCTAATTACGGTCTGCATCCGCTTTTAAAGCCCCTGCACCGGGCACCGCACGGCGGGAGCCCCTCGGAGCGCTTCCCTTCGCCACCTTCGCCAGCGACAAAGCGAGAACGCGCCTTGTCCCGGGCTCGGGCTCCCTTTAGGGGACAGCGGGGGGGAAAAACTCTTTAAAGCGCGCAGGTGAGGCACCAAAGGTACGCTGTGTGTGCAGGCTGGATGAGCCGGGCTGTTTGTTTAGCGGGGGTGGCCCGGGGCTGGCCCGGCCCCGCGGGGCTCACGCCTTTGTCGCCCGCCGGGGACTACACGGCCCAGCGTGCCCCGCTGCGCGGATCAATGGGGCTGATTTGAATAATCTGCGAGCCCTTGGACTCAGGCCAATCAGCCGTCAGGGACACATGATAAATCGCAATGCATTATTGATAATCATAATTACTCTGACATGCGCATTCCGCCCAAATTTCCCAACTCTAGGAATTTGTTGTGAAGAGGAAAATAATTGCTACTATTGCACGCTCCCGATGCTGGTGCACCATGTCGCGACGGAAGCAGGCGAAGCCCCAGCACATCAACTGCGAGGAGCAGCCCCCAGATGCTGCAAGTGGTGAGCGGCTCCGGGCTGGCCGATGCGCGGCTCCGGGAGCGAGGGGCGCTTCCCACCCCCCGCTCCTTTCCCCCCGCGGGCTCTGCCGGCAGCCGGCCCTCGGGGGTTTTTTTTGGGG